AATGACATCACAAAGTAAAAAAAGAAGAACTTCACGAATTCGGAGATTGAAGTCCTGCTCTCGGAGWTCCACCAAAAAAAGTTATTTTTAGCAGCATCAGCTTGGAATTAAAGGATCTGCTTTAAAGCCAAGGAATAAAATGTGCTGTTAATGTCGTGTCTCCTGTGTGTCGTACAGTCACAGAAATAAAAATCTAAATCATATTTATCTCTCTCTCTAGTCCTGCTCTGGTTTTTCTTTGGTCAAATATTTTTAATATCAGTGTAAACAACTGTGTTACATAGTTTTCATTTATTCAGAGGAAGAGCGGTCGCGCACCGCTGCCCCCCCTCCCCCCACCAGCAGTTATGCATGGAAAATATTTGTATGGCAAAGTTCGGAATTCATAACTTTCCGCAACTCAGCAGTGAGTAAAACGCTCTTACTTTTAGTAGTACTTCTGTATTATTTATCTTACACATAGTACTTTTCAGTGTTTACGACATGTTAAAACGCTGTTTCTGTGCAGGASATACCACATAGAGCTCAGTAATTGTTTGTTAGTGGAGCTCAGCCGTAGCAATGAGACAAGGCATGTGACTTTTTATGGTTAGTCCAAGTTAAACACGAAACGTTGAAGTTTATTACAACTGGCCCTTTGAGGGCCACCATAACGCTCATGTGGCCCTCGGTTTGACACCCCTGCTCTATGAGAAGTGCCCAAGTTGCGTCTCTAAAAAGAAAAAAATGAACAGACTCTTTAAAGGTGAGCCCCGTCTCATCTTAAACTTCAAATCCTTTTAAATGGTCAAAACATTTTTAGGAACCACAAAGTATAGGAGTTATTTAGTTACGTATTCATTGACCCAACAAAAAGTTTGATTAATTATTTATTAAAAACTCAGCAGTCGACAAAAAATAAAGTTGCACAATAAATGATTAACGCTGTGGGGAACAGAGCAGAAACCCATTGTCCTAGAATTTTCCTGCAGCCTGCGTCGCTTTTCATCCTCCATCTTCACAGTGGTCTTTGATGTCTTTGTGAACGCGTCACCACGGGGAAGAAGTTATAACAACAGACTGACGCTGAAATCTCCATTTCTCAGCTTTCTTGTTCAGATTTCACCTTCATGATCACACAGGACTCCAAATCAAAACTGAAGACATATTTTCACACAAAATCAAGAAATGTATAGAATATTTACTGTGAATGACTCTCAGCTACGACCACAAAAATTTGCTCAAGAGGCGATCTGTAAAACTGACTGAGTTTTAGACACTCAGTACCTGTTTGCAAAGGCCGATTAGCTGTGGTGGAATTGGGCTTACTCCAGAAAATACGCCAAACTCTCATGCATAACTATGGTGAAAGACGCCATGCTAAATTTTATATCAATATTTGGAAAACTCACTGAATATAATGCCATTTTTATGCTTTTTGGATTCAGTTAGCTGTTCCAACCATCCTTCAGTTTGTGTGTGTGGGGGGGGGACGACAATAATTTATTTGCAAGGTGCATGTTGGAACTGACTCAGTCATAATTTGTTTGCACCTCATTAAATCTAAGCTCAACCATCAACAAGCAACATCTGTAAGGCTCGTCACAAATGAAGGTGTAAATGTTGAAAAGCAAATTTAGCTAAATGTTAGCAGCTCACTGATATTTTTGGATCAATTCCTCTTTGCAGGCAAAGCATTAGACTTGCTAATATTTTTATTTCTGTTCATACTGAAAAGATCCATAAATATTAATGGATCCACAGTCTCCTCCTGGCTGCCCGTCATGTGTTCAAAGGGAATTTAGGGTGATTGTACGATACTGTTGATTAGGAYTGAAGGGCCAACGTTGGTGAACAAGCAGGCAGGCTGACGTGCTGAGGTGACAACTTTCTCAGATATTTAAAAAAAAAGTTAACACTTCAAACACTTCTGCAGAGGAGGTGACGGGGGAGGGGGAGGGGCTTTTCTTTGTCTGATTTTAATTCCTTGGCTCTCCTATTAAGACATTTTGCAGGATGGTTTTAAGCATTCAACATTAAAAGACAAAACAGGAATGAGAAAAAAAGAAAGGGAAGTTTTCCCGCTGTTTAAAGACATCTGTTCATGATTTACATTTTTAATAAAAACAAAACCAAACCTTTCCATGGAAGAAAAGAAAAACTGCCTCTCAGCTCCCAGTGTTACCRTCCTTTAATTAGATCGTTGTAGTTATACGAGTTTCAGCTCTTCTCTGCCTATAAGACCAGTCATTTATCTCCTGCTGACTCATTCCCTCGAAACCAAGCCACCACCTCACACACACACACACACACACACACACACACACACACACACAC